ATTATAATATATCATAATCAGATTTTAAGCTGCAAGATGCATATTTTTGTTCTAAAATTCAATGCTTGGTGCATAGATGCTTGTTGGATGCGTGACTGTGTAAGCGAGTTATGCATAAAACATGGATTATTTTTCAGCGGTTCAGCAAACAGCCAGAGAGGCAGCATCGTTTTGACCTGGATATGATTTTTATTAAGCGGAAACTTCAATTCATTTGCAATATAAACGTAGGGGAGAAGCTGAGAAAGAGAGCGAAGATCGTCGGAGAGGGTTTATATTTCGTTCGATGAATATTCAAAGTTATCGTCATCGCGTCGGCTTACTTTCACGACTGAGACATCGTTTTTCTGTTGCAAAAGCCTGCGCGTATTAAAGTCGGCGATGAATTTGAATCTAGGTAATACTCGAGCACAACTGTGAGTTTTTCATTACAAGAGTAGGTGTGAAACACGAGTGTCCGAGCATCATAATTACAAGTTCTTTGTGATATTTTTTAAAAATAATAAATTATAAGTTGGGCTACGATACAACATAAACCAATCTACGACGCATTAAACTAATTTCTTCATGTTTGATAGAATGAGAAAGGGAACTTTCATCGGTGCCATATCTTAATCTTATTTTCACGAGAAGCAGAGTACATTCTCTACATGAAACATCGAAGCCCTAGTCAAAACAAACAGCTCGAGGATAACTGTTTAGCCGGCGTCACCGCGGATACATAAATACACGAGTATATGTGTACCGATACATCATGCGAAATCACGAATGCGAATGGGCGCGCTATAAACTTTATGAATAGTCACACATGCACAGGAAGCTTCGTTAGCTCTTGCGTGCGTTGACATATACGTATAACATAAGAGGGGATAGAGTGAGCTTTTTTAATTAAAAATTTTCGAGTCTAGAGCCCTGTGTGCGCAGTGCGTACAAACAGCTTCCCCGTTCTCTGCTTTTTTATTTCGCCGTTCTTTTACTTTGCGCGCCAATTCGTAAACTTCAATTGCTCGCTGTTTACTTGGAATTAAGTTATAATTATACGTGATAAATATTCATAAAACTTTGAAAACCAAGTTGTACATATGGGCAGATGACAAAAAATTGGCAGTATTTTCAATGGATTTTGGACTCATTCCGAAAATTGCTAAATTAAATTTTTTGTACGTACTATACTCACAGATTTTAGGGTTCAAAACAAATATAGCACGAAACCCATCATTATTGGCGATTTTCCGCTTTTATGGCAGTTTTTTGATGTTTTTTGCACGTTTTTCGATACCCTCGGACTTTAACGATAACTTGAAATTATCGGATCGTTACAAAAATTTAACATATGTTTTCTGACACTTTGAGAAAGTTCTTTGCTTGGTTTTGGGATTTTTTGATGATATCTAGGTGAAGCTCAGATCGAATTCGATTAAACTTTTAGTTTTGTGTATATTTCTATAGAAAAGCTTCTAGAGTGCTTAGATTATTTTAGAATACTTTTTTTCTGAAAATTCTGACAATTTTCTACAAAAAAGTTTCGTTGCACTTTTCCGTTTAAATAACTCTATACTGAGATAAAAAATATTTTATATTTGCGATAATCATGAATTTTAGAAAAAGGCCAACTTTGGGCCTCTGAAAAAGGGAGATATATCTTTATGGGTCTATAGACGATTCCGATAATTCTAATAAAATTTAGGAACATGTATAACATTACAAACAACAAGTTTTTCGTGCTTTTAAAAAAAAAAAGTTTAGGACATTCGATTTCGCTGAGAATCTGCTAGCTTTTAATGTACATGTTTACGAATTTTTTTGTGTTTTTTTCACTTTTAGAATTTTTTTATTTTTATATTAAAATTCTATAGATCAAGACTTTATTATTTTTATTGATAAATTGTCCAGTCTTAGGCCCTTTTTATCTCACAAAAAATCAATTAGGATAATATTAGTGCAATGTTATACATTTTTTTTTCAATTTCATACTAAATTTGGAGAATTTGCTGACGATACTCACGATCGTCAAAATTAAAAAATTTATATCTATTAGCATTTTTAATAGCAAGGCATGTAAATTACCAATTTTTTGTCATCTACCCATATACAGATATAGGTGAGAGCGGTTGCACAGTCGGCGGATCGAAGGTGAAAAATTACGCGCTCGCACTAGAGCCGGATTCGGGTGGATATAACGAAGAAAAATATGTCATACGTTCGAGCGCTGATGATTCATCGAGTTCTCACGTGCGGCCCAGCTACGACGCCAGTCAAATAAATATCAGAGCTGCGCGAAATAAAAGAAACCGTATTGCGGTATAGTGACCTCTTGCAGCTTCGAGCTAGTACATTATAGCATGTATATTCGCCTGAGCAATACAGTGAATGTTTTTGCATTCAAGCTCTGATTCTCTCTCGCTCTCGCTCTCTGCGACTGCAGAGCACGTTCGTGTATACTTTCGAGTCGACCGGAAAGTGAAGAAAATTGAGTTTGCCGTCCAACGTTTCCAGTGTGTACGTATAGAGTATATGTATGTGCAGTGCATAGCACATATACATAGACAGGCGCACGATCACGAGCACGAGTATACGAGCACGAGCAGCAGCTATAAGGTATATAGTTATACTTTGGATGGAGAAACGTAACGATCGATGAACCGATGTCCCGAAGGTAATAGCTAAAAAGTTTTTTCACTTTTTTCCTCCCTTCCTTCTTGTCACTGAGCTCGCTCGCTCGCTAGCTCGACGAAATAATGTATGTCCGAATATCCACTTTGCCAAATAGCCCATTGTTGTATACATACATATAAATACTTTGCTAGCTCTCTGACGCAAAAACGACAACCAGTTGCAAGCAGCACAGCCAACGTATTCGCGTACGTGTACGCGTAACAGCTACGCGTGCAACGGATGCCGATGTTAGCCAGCAGCTCCACGCGTTGTAAATTTGTCTCTCGCTCCCTCCGACTCTCCCTAGTTTGTGTGTTACCACTTTGTGCTCTTTAAAAGTTACACGCATAGCAGCGAGCTCTCAACGTCAGCGGAGGCTTGCCGCACACTGCACCGTCCCGACGATCCAGCCCCGGCCTTATTTGGCGCCGTTATTTATGACCGTTTCCGCAACGCGCGCTCTTCTATACCGACTTTCTCCCTCTCACTCGCTCTTCTTGTTCTTTTCGAAGCTGCGTGCATGTGGCAAACTACACGCGCATCCAGCTAGAGGGAAGAAAAAAAATCCCAGCCAAATACGGTCCGACTATTGACTTGGCTCTACTACTTGCACCGGACTGCTTGATTGTTCGAAAAACGATATGTTTGGAAAAAAGATAAAACCTCGGATCTCCCCCATAAACTCGAGTGTACGAGACTCCAGATTAATAGTTTGGCTATGTCCGCGCGTGTACGCACAATTGCGACGTACGGAAAATTCTCGCTTAATAATTTAACAACAATAAAAGCTCGACTTTTATCTAACGGCCAAAATGCATGTCCCCAAGTGGCTTGATATCGAGAGCTCAGATTCTATTTTCGCCTATAGATTGATTCATAGAACTGAAACATATCATAATTTGGAGGAGGAAAATTAAGGTACTGTACATTTTTGGGCTTTGTGCGTCGTGTTATTTCTTAAAATTTCCCTCTTATAAATCTTGCAGTGGAAAATTCAATAGTCGCTGCGCGAAAAAGTCCTTGATGCACACGCACGCGCTGCAATATTTTGTACACTCGTCAAATCTTATTTTGTCAACATAACCAGCGTAAGTATACATTTAAAAGTAAATTAAAATAAAACTCACGGTAATTGTGACAAATTGAATAAGGCGGGAGGCCGGGACGTCGCTCGTTTCCGGCTATGCACTTTGTGCTTGATTAAAAAAAGTCGCGGAAAGCTGCAGTAGGGATGAAAGAATGAGTCAACGTGTACAATACGAAGTAATTCGAGTCGAAATATATATAGCGACGCGAAAGTCGTGCAGGCGGCAGAGCTCAGCTAAAGGAGCCGAGCACGCCTCAGCGGTGTACACTAGTGCACAGCACTGGGTGCTGAAAGATATAGCAAAAAAGGGTTTTTAATAAAGAGAGCAAACGTGGGCCGGGAGGGGTGAAGTGCGGCACGTTATTAATTAATTTCAAAAGCAAAGCGAGCGAGAGGGACTTGATATTTGTCGCGCGCACGCGGCTAAAACTCGAAACGTTCGGATGAGTTGGGCCTGTTTAATCCGGCATATGTGGCCTTATTTTTTCAAACGCTACGAAACTAAAACAAAGAAAGCGGAGGTATATAATGTAGCGCAAGCCAAACACGATGCATGGGCCGACGGGAGTTATCAAAATTCATCTAGAAAACACAGAGGGTAAATATTTATACGGCGCAAAGGAGCGCGACGATAAGAGCATATTTTTTGGGCGGGGAAATTTAAATTACGATAATAGTAATCCTGCCGCAGCAGAATGTAGTCGCGCACGAGGTGGGGAGCACTTGTGCGCATCAGCAACTGCTGGAGCGGGGTGGGGTCGCACGATACGAAACAATAACAACAACAACAATGCGCGCCGAGAGAGCAGGTGAAATCAGAGAAGCGCGAGCGTACGATCGCACGCGCATTGTTGTGCGTATTAATTAACTATATACGCCGGCGTACGCACACATATAAATACTGCGCATACATATTATATAGGAGCTAGTATGTCGGGGCACGCGGAATAATGTGCAGCGCTGCGAGAGGGAGAGAACAAGACGATGCGCGAGCGCGAGCTTGTTTGCCACTGATATTCATCCGCAATATCTGCAGAATGTTAAATAGAGGCAGTTTGTATAAAATCATTTCATGCGCGCCGTCGGTTTGTTGTTTTCTATATATACAGTGCATTATGCCACTTCTCGCGCATTATTTGTTTTCATATATTATGGACGGGAGCAATCGCTGGAGATTTTTGACAATAAAACAAATAAACGATCGAGCATAAAGTGCGTTGTGCAATGTATAATAATGGAAAAGACGATGTAGACTCACCTTGCTGGATGTAGCAGTAGTTGTAGTAGTGCCAGTAACGCTATCAGCGGTAGTGCTCCAGGCCTCATTGCGAAAGCCTGAAAGCAGATGTAATCACGTTTATATAATGAGAGTCGCATGCCTATAGAGTTCGAAGCTCCGCAAGCAGTCAGCGCCGCTTTTGCTCTTGCCACTGCTGCTGATCACGACGCTTACAGACACACGCACACACACACACACACACACACGCAGGAGCAGCCCTGTATAGACAGTATTCGAGAGTCCGCCTTGCAGAGTTACCCACCTGGCCCCGCTCGTCAACCGCGGCCACCCCCACGCGTATATATTCTAACAACTCCATCATGTCCTGTCGACGATCGCCCCGACTGTTTCTAAAGCTCGATCTACTCCCCGCCTCTGGTATACATAGAAGCGATTCTCTCTCTCTCGAGTAGCAGCAGCAGCTGACAAAGACATCACAAGGACGACAAGCAGTAGCAACAGCCACCATGCATCCCTTTAGTGCTCTACGCTCGCTTGCCATTGGAAATTGATTAAAAAAATTTCATTACGTAATATATACGTATAGAACACGTGTTCTTGTGCCAACTTACGACTTCTCTTCTCTATGCAGCATGTAGATTATGCACCTTAATAGACTCTCTACGATCGAGACTCGACTACTCGGTAAAGAGGCAGAGGAAGAGAGAGAGAGAAAGTTTGGTAAATTCCACGAATAGTTTTGAGCATAGCTTAGGCTCGGAGCAAACTAAAATTCCGCCAAACACTGATTCACCTTCGCGCAAACTAGCGCGAGTATACGAGAGACTCGGGTTGCAGAAAAAATTAAGCGCTCGATGCGTTGCATCACTGGATCGCGTTGACTCTCTGAGAAACGACTTGGATTGGGTTCAATGACCTACCAAATCGCTGCCACCATCACTATTTCAGCTTACCTATATATACATAATATGAGCAAAGTAGCACAATCTTTTTCTCGATCGAGAGTACGGCAATAAAAATCGATCAATCAAAAGAGAGAGAGAGAGAGAGAGAGAAAGAAGAAAAAAATTTTTTTTCATCGCGCACGTTAATTGAAATGTATCGGCTTTTACTCGCTCTCCCTCTGCTCTTCACATGTCATTCTAATTTTCATCATTTTTCGTCCGCTCATTCGTTCGCATACGAACCGCACTGAAGCATGCTGATTCATTATTGGAACCATCCATAAACACACATGCAGAAAGTACGCGTGAATGTAGATTCGAATGAAAAAAAAACTGTATAAAATGGGCAAGAGAATTCGAGCAAGAACAAGAGAGCATATTGACTCATTCTTATTGAAAAACTTGACCCGTCCAGCAGTGCAACAACGGCCACGCGACGACTTATAAGCTTCGATACGATGTGTGCTGTCGTCGTTGTCGCTCCCGTCCGACCATGTAGACTTACGACGTGTGCGAAGTTTTCAGCTCGCGTACGCGGTCGCTTTTTTCCACTCCTTCAACACCAAGCTTTACTGCTGCTGTTTTTTTTAACCTCCTGTTCGTTTCATTTCGCGAGGTGATTGGCAACAGCAGCAATGGCGCCAGCTACGAGAAATTTTTTTTGTTCCTCACACTTCAGGGCTCTGACTCGAATTTAATTTCGTGCCACGTTTTAGGCGTTATTTTTTGTTCTCTCATTCATGCTGCTGGAGCTGCTGCTGGCCTATCTATAGGTATACATGGGACGTGCAACTGCCAGGCCTTTTTTCCTCTTGTTATAGCTTTTTTCGATCATAATACGACTTTACCACGGACGTGCGGTACTTTTTGCCTGCCAAAGTGTTTCGAATTCTTCCTAGTGTCGAGTACTGGTGCTTTTGGAAACCAGCCTCGCGTAGTCACGAATAATTTGCACGAATAACTTGTTTATAGCTAACAAATATAAGCTGATGACTCTGGTCGTGCTTTATTTATTATTTTTTTATCATCTACGTCATTGCGTCAATTGCGACATCCGAACGGTCACGGATTGCGTGCGCAAAGCTCATCATATGCTGCAGACTTGTGTCGTGGCAGCGAGAGATTGAGATTAAATTTTAATCAGTAAATTAAATATACCTCACGTGAGTTTTAACGCGGCCAGTGCGTAGTGTGCTGCAGCCTGCAGCACATGCGTTTTAATGCAATTTTAATTGCATAGCTAAAAGTCACTTAATCACCCCTCTTAATGATGAAATACGGGCAAAGCTGCCATGCAGCTACTACTATTATCAACGATCGTCCATATATACTTTACACATCGTTGAGGTTGAACATTTTTTCTCCTTTTTTCGGACAGCGATCCAGCGATGTGCGCACGCATTATCGATCAATTGCTAAAGCGTATTACCGAATTTTTTCGTTCGATCCAATTATGTGGCTGCGAGTGTAATTTACAGAGCGTCCTTCTTAACTTCCTTTCCGTACAGCTTTGGTATTATGCCGAATTCTCCGAAATAATGCGGCTATTGAAAATACGATCGAATAGCTCGTGCAGATTGCAGAATTGAGCGACAGTAGCGACAGAAATGCAATGGACGCTTCGCTTCGTATATAATCATGCTCTCGTGCGCGTAGTACGTATAGGTACATGCATAGCGCAGCCATGCACCTATACATAGCCTGGCTGCGTGCGAAACAGAAAATATCAAATCCACCCGCGCACACATCCTCCGCCTCGCTGCTACTCGTAGCTGCTCTCGTACACGGCTTGACAGCGCCAGCAATGGCTCTCGCAACATTTCAACGATCATTCCATTATAGCTATTGCACATCAGTTTCCTATTTCTATTTACATACTTAATAAGTCGTCAATAATATTAACGCTGATCGGACGTCCGTCATGCTGTCTTTACATCTATACAAGGAGCTCGGCCGTCTTCGCTTCTCTTCGAACCTGACTTTTTTTGTATAATGTCAATAAAAATTTGCTGAACATTTTTCCTCCTACGCATATGCACATTTTCTTTCTTTCTCTTTCTCTCTCGCCCACTCTCTTGGCCTCTTTTCACGACAATTTTCAATTTCATCCATCTCTCACTTGGAACAAGAAGACTGAATAATAAAAAAAAAGGAATTACGTTCTTGAGAGTCTAGTGTAGCGTGCTCTCTACTCAACCTATTTTTCCGTTCGCTACGACGCGTAAAGTTTAAGTATTTTATACGTGTACGTACATGCGTATGCGTCAAGTTCATTCCCGTGAGAGGCGCCAGAGTCAAAAACGACGAGGAGTCGCGCAGCCAAATCACGAGTATTTTAGCCAGTGATTTTTGCGTTTACCAAATTATTCCGCGTGGATGTTCAATGGTCATACAAGAGACAGTCGCGCGAGCTTTTTTCATAAACAAACTTGATCGTGCCGAGTTGCAGCAAAACCTTTGTTCGATTAAATGAATAAGGCGCTCGCCAAGTATAAGTTAGTCAGAGTCGCAAGCTCGAAAAAGCAAAGTTAATCCTTGACTGGAAGCGTCTAATAGCTATCCAAGTCAAAAGGCGCATTCGGTAAACACTCGAGACAAAACAGAGTGTTTCGTAGAAATTGTTAGTTCGGCAAAGACAAGTCCATAGCGAAAGAGAGAGAGAAAAAAAAGAGAAAAAGTTGGCTCAGACCAATTCAACGACTACCAGAGCGCGTTTTCCACCTTTCCTCGGCAACATTCTCTATAAAGAGCATCATCGGGTTACAGAGATTTTTCCGGACAAACTAGGTGCAGCATAGCTAGAATTCCTCCTTTTTTAGAACGAGCTCGTATACGTACTCGTATCGACTACGCGAGTAAACTTTTTCCTCCAACACACAGCCAGACATGCGCGTGCACACAGGCACACGAGGATCCGCTTGATTGATTCGCTTGGGCGGTTTAGCCTCGGTTTTGTGCACATTGAAAAAATAAGGCTTTTCTCGGTGCAGAGTCGAGGCAGGTCGTGCGCTCACTGGATACATGCGATTTTCCCATTGATCGGGCGCGCAGTGCCCTCCTTACAGCCCTAAACGCGTAAGAATTCATCGTATCATGAATTTTTCTTACGTTTGAGCGAGCTCGATTATTACATCGTTCCTCGGCAAACGCCGCGCTACGCAACGATCACATATGAGAAATAAATTGCTCATGTAATATCGAAAGTTGAGCGAGAGTTCGATGGGTGTATAGGTGCAGCGTAGCAACGACACACGATCGTGTTTACCTTCCAGCCGATTATCTCGACACAGTACGAGGCATCGGTCCCGGACCTGGAGGCATTGCACACTCTCACACACACACACACACACACACACACGAGTAAGGAGGAGGAATTGCTACATGCGTACATATATCGACGCAGTTCCAGCTTGCAAGTCTTGGGCGGATATTGCGCAAGCGAATTGTCTAATAACGCACCACAAGGCTAAAGAAGAGCTAGACCGAAAGAAACGATCCGCAATCGCGTGTGCAGTCGATGAGCCGATCACGCGACGGGCGAACGTAGCTACCGAGCCGACATATCCAAGCGCGCCGACTCGATATATTCATCGTAACGCGCCATATCCGCATCGGCACGTTTTGCACGTGTGCGCAAATTGCAAGGGGGGCGTTTATCGGAGCGAGCCAGAACTTTCGAGCTCGCAGCTCGAGCTTATGCAGCTCGACACTTTTCCCGCGCCATAGCCTTTGTCTCTTATTTACGCTGCATATAAACAATGTCGCAGCGTTCACACCCCATTCCCGTTTTTACGCGTCTTGTCGCGCGCACGCAACGGTCAAAACAGCTCGCACAACTTTTGTAATTGTCGCGCAAGCGCAGAAAGAGAGAGAGAAAGAGGGAAAGCTGAAAAAAACTAATTGAAAAGTTCAGATGAAAATGCTCTTATTATTATTATTATCATGTAAATGCAGCTCTCGTTTTTTATCGCGCGCGCTGCGCTGTCTAAAATCAGCAAAACTTTTGCCTTGGCGAATATTCGAAATCTGTTCCGCGTTATCCTATAAATCTAGCCGGCTCTCGAAATTATAAGAGGGGCTGGAACGAGAGAGAAAGAGAGAGAGAGGTCGAAGCACTTAGATTGCCCCTAGGGACATAGGTGTTATTACTGTCTGGAAGTTTAAGCTTTCTTATTACCATATTCAAGTGGTATGCGCACGCTATGTTGCAACAGCAGCGCCAACAGCAAATGTAAAAAGACGGAAAAAAGACGAAGGCAAGCAACTTTCTACGGCACACCGGCGGAAAGTTTGTTATGGCTCTTTAAACACGTAACGATGACGTGAAATGGCTTGTTAGATTTACGAGAAAAAAATGTGCGTGTATACTTTTTTTTTCTGTAGTAGCTCACACAGCGTCTAGTAGTCGGGGCCATAAAAAATTAGTAAGAGCCAAACGCATGAATTTCCTCGCGATTTAGAAGCAATTGGAATAAAAATGCACAAATCACTTGTGCGTACATCGAACAGCTTCAGCAACGCCTTGCTGACAAGGAGAAACCAATTCAAAAAAACAACGACAACATATTATCATGGGAGCGTTTACTCGTCAAAGCATCTATAGCTAAAAGCTCGAACGCACTAAAGTTTCAAAGTACCACTAGGCGTGAGCGGGTGCACGAGAGAAAGAGAAAGAGAGAGAGAGAGAGAGAGAGAGAGAGAGAGAAAGTAAGCTAGGTCGAGGAAGAAAAAAGACGACGGAGAATTCTGGTTCATCCCATGGAGAAGTAGTAGTTGAAGAAGGAGGATGAAGAGGAGAAGTAGGAGAAGCTATACAGTAAAAAGCAACAGCAGCAATAGTACAGTTTCTGCATTTTAAGATGGCGCGTGCCGTGTGCCTCTAGGGTATCCTAAATCTTGGCCGTATTCACATCCAATTTTTCTCTCTCTCTTAAGGCCGTGCCCTGGCAATCGGCCGTCGAACTCTCCACCTCATTCCCCCAGAGAAAATCAAGAGCGAGAAAAATCGCCCGTGACTTATACTGGATACTTTCTGTGTTAGTGTCACATGCCAACGTGCGCACGCAAACACTCGTGGCTTAGCTCACACGTAGCAGCATAGATGTTTGCGGTAACACGGCACCATCCTAGCCTCTTCGGCCAGCTTCGAAACACTTAGCGGCATGACTGCCTCTTGGATGATTTATTTAGGTCAGTAGATAGTGCACGCGGGCACAGAGAGGATATTTTTCTCGCTCGAGACGACGTACGGGACGAGCTAAACGGGGACCCCGTGCACAACTTCTTCTTCCTTCGAATAATGTACATTTTCTACGTTGACACATTATTACTTAGCCGCATGCATGCTTGCTGGGCAAAAATTTAAATAACTAAGCCAAGTGTTTCTTTCGTAGGATTCGTCTTACTTGTCGTGTGACCGCCGCCGCTTGCACTGACTTTTTCATAAAATTTCGTTTAACATAATCACATTAATAACAAGCGGAAAGTTCAGTTAAGTAAAAGTTTATATATACAGACAGCGCTATTGCTGCTGCTACTGCTGCTCTGCATGCTAAGCGTAAGGACAAGAATTTTCATACATCTTGGAAGTAGATAATTTGGTAATCTCGTTTAAATTAACGAGATCGGAGGGAAGGATAAGTTTTAGCGGGAGCCACGAGCACAGTCTGCACTTTAGCTTCGCTTTGCTTTCCTGGGCCGACCCCAACTCTCACTCTTGACTCAAAATTTGCATTGAAACGACCACACCGTGATTCGATATAGCTACTTTACGAGTGGCCGAGCTTTAATTTTTCTTATTGCAGCAACAGCTTTTCGTTTGCGTTCCTGCACAGGCTAGAGTACTGCACATCGATTAAATCGCGATTTGGTTTGTTGCCCGACCGAGCTTGCGCCTAGAATCAATTAGAAAAAAGCCAGGTAAATTAAAAATGCATGAAAGCCAGTGCACATACACCTAACAGCTCGAGGTTGCGAGCGAGAATCAAGGGAATCGCGAACCGCATCATCGTGGTTTGCCCAAAATGGTCTGGTTAACGTACCAAGCTTTCCGGACGCACGCACGTATCTCTCTTCTCTCTCTCTCTCACTCAGCTGAAGCTCTTTATGCTACTGTTTACGAGCGGAAGCCATCAGAGAGCGAGCTTGGCCGATCGGCCTTTTCCGCTTATTCTCTGACCGCACCCTCTCTCCTTCCCTCTCTTGCCTCTGGCTCTTTTCCCTCCCGAGCCTCCCCGCCAACCCCCTTCTCCCCCTATCCCCTTCAACCCTTTCTCCTCTTTACTCTCTTTCCCTCTCTGTGATGAGATTAAGCGTTAATTAGCTTGACGTTGTTTTACATCGTACGTACGTGTACGCGTTTTGACGTTTACGTGTGATTTAACCTTACTAGCCAAAGGAGACGGCTATTTATCGTTCATTTTATTTTATTTTTTTTTCAGATTTCTCGTCCAAAAGTTACGGTGAAGCGAAACTCATGATGATTTATCCTATTCATCAGAGTTTTTCTGCGCGTGAGACTCTAACGTGGTTTAAGTACTCCACGGTCTGGCACGTACAAAGCGAGGAAAAGAAAGAAGTAGATAAGAGAGCCTAGCGTACATTACTTGTTTCGATGAATCTAGCCAGTAGAAAAATAAGTGCTTGGTCGGACGGAAGATTGATAAAAGCGCGCGCTCGGCAACTGGGCTGCTACTGCTGCTATACGTACGAAAATCAAGAGGATGGAAACGTCAAGAGATGGCAAGAGAATACAAACCGAGTGATAATCAAGTTTAACGATGAATAATGCTCGACTCGAGTCGAGTTCGAAACCAATTTTGAGCAGACGTTTAATGAAAAGAAAGAAAGATTTGTCTTATATATAGCAGTTCGTAGCAGCGCGGCAGTAGCTCACCTTAGCAGCCGACGACGAAAAGCTCTCGTTCAATGCTCCTCTTGCTCAATGAAAATACCGGATGAAAATCAGACTAAATGCGGCGAGCGGCAGCAAAAAAAAATAAAAAAAAAAGAAAAAGGAAGAAAAGGTAAAGAAGAAAAAATTTAAAAATAGAAACGTTCTTTTTCATTGGGCTCTTTTCAGGCCAAAGTTCGGGCTAATTTCATTGAGCTATATTTTTCAGCATCTCGATTGACTTTCAGCAGAAATTTGCATCGATCTGTATGACTAGTTGGTACCTCGAGTGAATCGTGTATAGGAAATTCGATTACCTAGTTTGAAAAGAAAAAAATGGAGAAATAATAGAACTAACGCAGTATACGCCAGAGCAACTTACAAAGGCTCAGCGATCGTAACAAATTTTTCAATCGAGCCGGAAAAAAAGAGGCACGAAAATAGGTAATCAAACGCGCAAATCATCGAGAGCTTGTACTTAGCCCAGCAATATATATACTAGTTGGAAAGTAAAAATAGAAGTGCAGTAAAAAAAGCATCGAAAAACTTGGTTAGAGGCGCAGCGTAGCGAGATAGCGAGGCGCGCGTTGATGAATAGAGGAATCCAATCGGCCAATGACGAATCGCCGATATTTGATTTTTTATTTTGCGGTCGTAGAGCAGAGAGCGAAAGAGCGAAAGAGCGAAAGAGCGAGAGAGCGAGAGAGCAGTGCAGCGCAAAGCGAGAGCAGATATTGAATCTTCGGATGCGCCTGGCAACGCGCGCGAGCCCTCCATCACAATAGAGCCCGGAACGCGTGCTAAATTATTATTTTTCTTTTTTCAGCGTGCAGAGCGCAGGCGGATCGAGGCAATACGCACACGCTAGCGCGAGCAACGGCGCTGCTGCAGCCACGGCTAATATTTCAATAGCCAGCCTAGAGACTTTTATTGCTGCTCGCACATGCCTCGTTGGCACGCGCTAATTCACGACGACGATCGCGTTAATCGTACGTCGGCTTTATCGGATCGACGGATTACGCAACTCGTCGAGTGCAAGGCGCTCGTGGTCAAGCGACCCGGAGCTGCACGAGCAAACGCAGCGCGAGCCTAGACACGGAGCACAGGTACGAATCGAATTGGCTTACCTGGAGTTAGTTGTGGTCCTAGGCTGTCGAATGCCAGATTCTCGCGTAGAAAACAGGCATGGCGGCAGCGGCTAATTTCACTGTCTGCAGCTCGGCTAGGGCGATGAGCTGCTGCAGGCTGGCCGGTAGAGCGATCTCCACTCGAAGAGTCGTGAGCGAGCTGCAGCTGCGCCAGGCCTCGAAACTGTCTCGGAGCCGTCTTAGTGGTCGTCGTGGTCGTGATTGCCAAGCTCGTGCAGCGTCGATCGGTCCGCGAACTTGCCTCGTGCGTTATACTCGTGCAGCTGGCTTACACAATCGCAGCCGCGGCTATAGGGGCCGTTATTATATATAACGTTCTCCGCGCTCCAAGAGTCGTTCACTGTGTCAGTGCGTCTATAGACAGCTATATAGGCGTATACGAGCTGGCGACTCGTGCGAATCTCCGTGAACAACGCGTGCGAGTGTGTGCGAGGACATACGCGCGTGACTGTGTCCGTGTGTCAGTGAACGTGTGCAGACTACACTATAGTATCGCGTCGAGCACGCAGTCAGGCGGTAGCTTCTTCTTCTTTACGCGCGAGGTCTTCATGTTGGTGGCCCTCGGCGATGCTCTCGACTCGACGAACGAACGATGCACGGCCGCAAACGTAAACGCGCTCGAGAAAGAGACGGTAGCACTGCGACGAGGGAGAGAGAGACAGCGAGAGAGACAGAGTCAGAGATACGGGGACGAGTAGGGTCCGGCGGTGCGAGCGCCGTCTTCTGGACTGAGGATGCGAGTGAAGCTGGCTGCTCCAAAAGCTCCGATATATGCTGGCTCCGCTGGCGTAGTCTCGGCTGTACCTGGAGCGAGGCGCGCGCGCGCTCTCTTCTGGGCGCTATTGATCCCAGAGCGGCGCGCGCAAATCTAGCAGCAGCAGCCAGTCTACCGCCGCCGCCGCACCGACTCGCTCTTTCTGCTCCGCGCCAGCTAGTGTGCGTTTACACATGCACGCGGATCCCTGTGTACGTAAGCCTATGCGTTCATTTCTCGCTCTCTCTCTCGCTGCTGCTGCTGCTGCTGCTGCTGCGGAGCTTGCATCTCGCTGCAAGCGCTGAATGTGGTACGTCGCTTTAGCAACGTGACGTCAGTGGCTCCCAGCAGCCGCGCCCTTCGCCCTCTCTCTCTCTCTCTCTCTCTCTTTCTCTCTCTATACTGCAGCCGCCAACGTCGCATCGCCACACTGCCACACTGACTCTTATACATGCACGTGTACATACGTATATAGGCTACATATATGTATAGCCATCTCGCTACGTGCACTGCTCTTCTATCCCCAGTAACCTCCCCCACGCTTTTCTCTCGCTGCTCCGCTCTGCTCGGCTCGCCTCGACTCTACGCTTCACTCATACATCGATGCCGCAGCTACTCTTATTTAGCGTGTTTGCGCGAGATCACGATGACGAGGCTCGCTCGGCATGCGTTGCCTATATCCCCAGCCTATATACAGCCTGGCATACATGAAAAAAAGATGGATGTGAAGCAGCAGCATCAGCTACTCGCAACTATTTCGACCCATCCTTCTTGTTCTACACTTTGTTTATTCGTGTAGCTGCCACGCACACACCGATTTGCGCGCCCACCCTCCCCATCCACACCCATATACGCTCCCGCAACCATCGGTGACGATCTAGATTGACAAGGGGTGGCAGCCAAGAGGGAATGAGCACGAGTGAGCACGAGTGCGCAGGAGGGAGGGGGGGGGGNGGGGGGGGGGGGGGGGACTGCCTTTAATACGCCAGAGCGGAGAGATTTAACGCGCCCCATCTACGCGCGATATTAATGACAATTGTTGATTTTCGACCTAGTCGCTTCACTCGGCAGCGACGCAACTATATGCTAATCCTATCGGATATGCCTCTCGGAGCGACACCTCCACTCGCGTCGTTGCAGTCATGTAAACTGCTCGTTTATGCGATTGAATGATTTTTCGACGTTTTACAGCTCCGACGTGCCCGCCGAACGAGCAGAAGGATAAACGGCTACTGCACGCCCACCTCCTGCACATACACACTCGCTTATTCACGTGTACATAGCTACGCTGCAGTGCCGCCCGCTCGAGCGTACTTCATCAAGTCCGATGTACGTTTCGGACGATAAGCGAGCCAAGAACTTTGCGGCTGATTTGCGAGCCTAGCAAAGGTCGCTGCAGATCTCGCCTGCGTGGCATCGCAGAGAAGCTCACTCGCGAGCTCCTAAAGTACTAGATCGGCCAGGCGCTCGAGCAAACTCGCTGCTGCAGCTTATTGAGCTAATCGTTTGATTTTTCAACGCATATATGATTTCGCAGCACGATTGAACAAAAAAACGAGTCTCCAGTGGTAGAGATTGAGCTCGCTAGGCACTTCGTGACCCAAAGATGTAAATCATCTTAATGCCAGTCTGCGCGCAAGCTCGCAATTACCGCGCGATCAACTGGTGTTTCTTATCTCGCACGCGCTTGCGAGAGATGCCTGCTGGCGCTGTTTATAGGCTGAGAAAAGAAAAGTAGGTGTCCGCAGCTGTACGCGTACTTGCCGACGTGCGTGCGCGACATCATTGAAAATAATGAAATGTCTTGTCGCCACTCTCGCGATCCTGCGCCACTGCAATTAAAATTCAGAGCGGCCTCCTCCTCCTCCTCCTACTCCATGCCTTGCTCTTGTCTGTTTTGCGTATTTCTGACGGAAAAAAATCACTTCTTATAATTATCGCAGTAAAAAAACTGCTACGGCAAATTGTGCACTGGCAATTCGAGAAATTTGCTAACTCTAAGAAGATTTCATGAATACAAGCGCACATATACCCACATAAAGTCCAAAAGAGGTAAAACGAGAGAGAAAGAAGAAACTGTGTTAATGGCCAAATCCTTTTATCCAATTACGAAAAAATCAGACTTACTGGGCCTGGCCTCGACTGTGCACCTCGCAAAGCGACAATATATTTTAAAGAAAAGAATCTTCTCTCTCGTCTTTTATTCACCTAGCAGTGAGAAGCAATCGCTCAAATATTTTTCAAATTTAGATAATTACATAGCTTACAGCTATAACATTATGTCTACGCTTCAAATTAAATACTAATCTAGAATGAGTGCATCACATACATCAAGGACTCGAATGAGACTAGAAAACCGAAAAAAAAGTATTAAACACTAAGAATGGATTTTCTTTTCTTTTTTCATTGCCTTTTTTTCTAAGGCCTAAAGCTTCTTCGAAGCTCCAATGGTTATCGATAGGATTATGATAAACTCCCGAAAAATTGGACCAACAAAAATTTCAACCCGATCTGAGCCCAGCAGGTCGGGTTGGATGCGGTTAAATTACGGGTCGACCAATTTGATTAGATAATTTATGCATTGAAGCAAATTTATAAAATAGTTGGATCAACTTTTTTCAATTAAACCTCAATCAAACTGAACCTAAAGTAACTTAATAAGATGGTTTGTGGCAACCGAGATTAATATTATTGTACTTTATGAGCTTTTGGGCCCAGTCACCCTTAAAGAGTTGTAGTTGTACACGCAGAGCAAGTAATAATAATTTTAAATGTCCAATAAATACTCGAAAGGTATCGATCAGAAGCTGGAGTTTAGCTTTGCTCCAACAGTATTTAAACAGTAGTCAATCAAAGCTGTATGACCCTTTTTCATCCTACCTCGAGGCCTGTGTACGTCATAGTAAAAGGAATAGTAAAGCACTCAGCTAGTGGTTCGAATTTTTTCACACTTCAATACATTTGCGCACGGCTGGCCATCAAATAACGGCGATGCATATCATAAATTGGCTCGGCGAGCGTCGCGTATGAAAAAAAATCTTGTCGTGAGCCGGGGATATTTTTGTCAAGCATTGCCGAGGGAAATTGACGTAAAATGCATTTTGACTTTATTTACTATTTTTTGCCTTTTTTATGCTAGCTATCTGCTACGCCAGGGGGTAATATGGAGGTATCGTTAAGGTTTAGATCGTCGTTGGATGGATTGTGGCCGCTTTCAGCAGCCTCGGTGCGCTGCTAAGGTCGTTTTATGATCCCAAGGAAATGGCCCAACATAAACATAGTGGAGGTGTTGCAGTAAAGATAAGTGTTGTCTAATTCGGCTTTCGTCGAGCATTCTTTTACGAAATTTCCCGAGTTGAAAATTTCAACGAGAGCCGCACGCGACTAGTCTTATGCTGTAGCTATACATGCCTAATGCCCGGAGATAAAAGTAATGAGTGCGCGGGCCGAGCCAAGTTTTGAGGCTTCGTATACTATACGAGGAGCAGACGTTTTACTCTACATATAATAATGCCAGCTACTACAAAAGAGGCTTAAAGCTCTCTCCCTCCTCGGCTGCGTCTGCAGCTCGTACGTACGAGTTTGTGTTCGTGTACGCGAGAAGTGAGACGGAGGAGTATAGAGTATTACGCCGCTGTCGAGTTCGAGAGGACATCTTATATTTCCGCGTCGTCGCAGTCGCCGAGCTAGCAGTTGCTTCTTTCGCAGCGGATTTTGCCCCGAGTTGATGCTGATGCGCCACTCCATTTCAAGAAGACATCGAAATATTTTTGCGCGTAATTATACGAGTCGTTCGCAACGAGCGTATAATAATATGCACTGGCGCTCGTGGACGCACTCCATTTCGCATAAAACATGGCATATACAAGTTACACAAGGCGATGAAATTTTCATACGCGCGCGTATAACGACGCAGCTCGAGCTTACGAACGAATGCCAAACGTAACGCGTACACGAGTATACACGAGGAAAATAAACGAAAAGAAAGGGGCAAAAATGACGACGCGATTACGTATATTTTACATGGATGTCTAGTTTGACATGGGAAGTTGGTGGCTCCGATGGGACGGAGAGGAAAAAAATGCGAAGTACGCGAGTGGTCAGTGTCGGCTCGTCGCGCAGTGAGCAAGACAATCTCCTGTCGTGTCACAAGGTGTCTGCGAATCAGCGTGTGCGGCGAGCGCATACGCAGTTGCAGCTCGTAAAATTTCTTCTTCGCTTATATATTCATGGCAGTGTGTAGGTATACGCGCAGCCTGGCTATGTATGCTTATGCGTACTCTACTCTGGGGAGTCACTCCGAAGCTCGTCGAGTCGGAAACGAGAAAAAGAGCGAGCGACTGCTGCTACTATTGCCACTGCTACTGTGGCTGCTGCAACGAAGAAAAAAAGTACATAACGTCGCTCGCTTCAGCAAAGTTGATTGAGAAGTGATTTAATGTCCTCACATACATGGACACGTATGCACGCAGGTGTAAGCGTTGCCGCTTGCACTGGGTATGTAATACGAGTTTACATCTATGACACGCATACATTCATTAAGCTCATGCCGGATATATTAAATTGCAGGTCTTTTTAGCCGCTACTCGAGTTCGGGACTAAGGTAAAAACACAACGACAACGACGACAACGACTGAGAGAGTATGAAACAAGAAGAGAAAAAAAAAGAAAAGAAACAAACGACACGTGCACGAGCGTGGCTTACGCATACTCTACAAGCCAGATGCTTCTGCGAGCCGCGCGATTAGTTTTTATTTACGATTGCGCTGTAAAACGTGCTTGTGTTGAGCGCGTAGCCCGGCAAACCTGCCCATGTAGCATATACCCATAACTGTATAGAGGCATACTTTTAAGGCATCCTCGTGTTCTCCATTCCCACGGATTTTTTCTATAAATGAGAGATAATTTTTTCCCTCCCTCTCTTTATCATTGCAGACTTTTTGCACACTTTACACTTTTTGCTTTTTCTTGAAATAGCTTTTACAATAATAACGA